ACATGGGGGCAATTAGCATACTGTGGCCATAACTGCATTTCCATGTTTATTGTAGCACACAATTCACAATGGCTATTGTTGGTGGGAACCAGCCTAGCTGCCCATCAGCAGATGAATGGCTACAGAAAATATATATCTAGAGAGAGAGAGAGAGAGAGAGAGAGAGAAGCAGAGAGCCAAAACATGTTTATACACTTCAGGAAAAGAAAAACAGTACAATGTTTTTAACAGATGCTGTTACCCTCGTATGGGGGACCCTAGAGAATATCCTATATCACAGAAATCCCACTTCACTGCCGGCCCCTAGAGAAGAAGTTGGAAATGCATGTGCAGCAATCTCAGTGACGAAGGTTGCCCAAGCAGCAGTTTGCTGTACTAATACATACATGTCTGGAAGCTCATGGCCACCACTCGGAGCACCTCGTAGTTGCAGAGGCCAAAGGTATCTAATATTAATCTCATGATGTCTCAATAAATTTAGTATTAAAAAATTTATGCAAGTTTTTCTCTTCCTGAAGTGTGTATACATTTTTGGTGATCTCTCTCTCTCTCTCTCTCTCTCTATATATATATGTGTGTGTGTGTGTGTGTGTGTGTGTATCTCTATGTCTGTATATATATATATGACATAAATACATACACACACACAATGGCGTTTTAGTCATAAAGAAGAATAAAATTTTATCCTTTGCAGGAAAATGCATGGAGATCATCATGTTAGACAAAATAAGCCAAACTCAGAAAGAACATTGCATGTTCTTTGCAACATATAGAATCTAAAAAAGATGACATGAAAGTAGAAAGGAGACTATTATTAGACAAGAGAAAGGAGTAAGGAAGGGATAGATACGATCAAAATATACTCTACACATGGAAACCCAATTTTTTTTTTTTTTGGTACCAGGGATTGAACTTGGGTCCTTGCGTTTATGCAGCAGGCAGTGAAACCACTGAGCTAAAGCCCCAGCCCGAAACCCAATATTTTGTAAAATTAATAGACACTAGTAAAATTTTACTGAAAAAAGGAAACAAGCAAGCATGCAGAGGTGGTAACTAACAGACTGTAACCTCTTTAAGAAAATGCCCAGAGGGGCGCAGCTGGCTAGGAGGAATCACTTCGAATGTTCCTCAGCACAGGAGGGTAACTATACTTGCAACAGTTAATTGAATACATGGGAATAGCTTGCGGAGGGTTTCCGGTGCTTCTAACACAGAAACGATAGATGTCTGAGGTTAGGAAGAAGCCAGGAGCCCCATTATGATCACTACACATTGCTCACGTGGATTGAAATGTCACACTACCCCACCAATACATACAACTGCTGTGTGTCAATTAAAAATTGAAAACGTATTTGCAAAAACTTGATTCTTTAAAGCAAGAATCATAGCAATGTTTTGTGGAGTTTACAATCCGTGTAGAAATAAAGTAAGACAAGAGGACAAAGGCAGAAGGCAGGAAGTAGCAGTACATCACTGCAAGGTTCTTCAGTTATATTGAAGTTGTATGCTATCGCACAGGAGCCAATAAGGTAAAGATGCATGTGGTGAACCCCTACAGAAAAGGGAGCCCAAGCCCTCCTGGGCCTCTGGTTTCCCGCCCCAGGATGGCCCTCGCCGAGGCCGAATCAAAGGAGCAGCTCAATCTTGGACTCTCAGGGTCCATAACTGTGAGCTAAAGTATTCGGTCTCAGGTATTTCATTACAGCAATGGAAAACACACTAACACTGATTGGGATCCAGATTAACGTGTGATGCAGATATGATGCCTGTCAGAAAAGGAAGGAAGAAGGCTTTGGTAGGAGGAGTCTTGAGCTGCATTACAGTTCCGGGAGCCAATGAAGGGTCCTGGGGCTGACACCCCCCAGGGGAGGAAGGAGGGCTTGTGTTAGTGGCCCTGCTGGGCCCAATGGTGGAAGTGGCTCACAGGATCACAGGATATGCAGCCTCATCACAAATGTGGTGGCAGCGGCTGGGCCTTCATAGATTAGCAGGAGATCCAAGTGACCCCTTTTCATGGCCTTCCCGGGAACCTAAATATTAAATGTCAAAAATAAAATATAGGGCCAGATATTTAGCTCAGTGGTTCCAGTGCCTGCCTTGCAAGTGCAAGGTCCTGAGTTCGATCCCTGGTGCCAATAACTAACTAACTAAATAAATAATAAATATATAAATGTCAAATCTCAAGATCATAAATCTAGAAACTATCTAAGAATACTTCTTTATAAGGGTTGATAAAAGTATTCTTAGATGAAACCTCAAAATCCCAAAGTATAAAAGCCAATAAGACGGCCCGGGGATTTAGCTCAGTGGTTCTGCCACCTGCCTCACAAGTGCAAGGACCCGAGTTCAATCTCTGGTACCAAAAAATAAAAATTTTTTTAAAAAGCCAATAAGAAAAAGCAATGCATGTGATAACATCAAAATGAATGACTCTCTTCCAATGATGTACAGTGTAGATAGCTAACAGGTGGATAATAGATTGGAGGGAGACACTCGAGATACGTATAGTTGGCAGGGGGCACATTTATGGAATAGATAAGGCACCCTGCAACTCCACAAGGAGAAGATAGTAATTCTACTGGGAGAACGGTTAGAAGATAAGAACCAGTGGTTTCTAGAAAAACAAGACTTATAAGAGCACGAGGAAGGCTCCGTGCCATTAAGTTAGAGAAGCAAATTAAAACAAGAAAGGCAGGGCACTTTAGTTCCACTGTACTGAAAAAGAGTCAGGGGCTCATCCATGCCAAGCACTGGCAGGGCTCTTCTGGGGGCTTCTGATTGAAGCACAGGCAGGGACAGGCACCCAAAAGAACATTTTAAAAAATGTTAGTCTGTTTGCAGTCCACGAGGCTTACACTCCTTGTGGGGAGTTGGCACATTTCCGTACACATCTTGATGCCTGTTTTCATCCTGCCCTCCCTCCATCGCTTGGTCCCTCCCCTCTGAGAAAGATCTTTCTCCCTACTTCCTATTGCCTATCTTTTATTTTGCTATTTATTTATTTATTTATTTATTTATACCAGGGCTCGAACTCAGGACCTTATGCTTGCCAGGCAGGTGCAGTGCCACTGAGCTACATCCCTGGCCCTTGCTCTTTATTTATATTTTGAGTGTCTCATATAAGAGAAACCTTGTAAGATTTATGTTTGTGTGTCTGATTAATTTCACTTAATATTATGGTCTAAAGATGCATCCATTTTCCTACAGATGACTCAAGTTTATCTTTCTTTATGGCAGAGTAGTGCTCTATTGTGTGTAAGGACATTTTCTTTATCCATTCATCTGTTGATGACATATAGGCCACTTCCAGAAAAACAATTTGATAGTGTATTTTAAAATTAGGTCCATGTACCCTAAGACCTGACAGATTTAATACATAGATCCCAAGGAAATTCTCAGGGGGATTCATAGGGTGCAAATGCTGTGATGTTTCTCAGTGTTGTTTCCTATGGCATCTCGAGTCTGTCTTCATCCCTGGGAGGGGGGTGGAGAGTAGATTAGGGTGGACCCACATCACTGAATAATCGTTAGCAGTTAGAAGCTGCTGCGTAGATGTACAGAGAGCAATGTGTGTGCAGCTGGGCGAGGGAAAGAACCAAGAAACATCGCCATCTATAACATTTCCATGAATTCAACTTACGTGAATTAGAAATATAAACCCATACATTTTGCAAGGACACGAACAGCTATAGGTTAGAAACATAGGTTAGAAAGCTAGCATTTGAGGAGGGAACCAGATTTGGGGAATGAATGCATGCACAGAAAAGAGACCGGGCCTTCTCACAAACCATCCAGCTGCCGAGGCAACCTGGCCCTTGGCACCTGTTTTGGGCTGAATTTGTACCCCTGACATTCACATGTTGGAGTCGTGACCCACAGGCCCTCGGAGCTACACACAGTACAAGGCTGTTGCCAATGTCATTCATTCAGATGAGATCACATTGGAATAGGGTGGGTCTCCAATTGGATGCAAGTTCTGTCCTAAGAAAAGGAGAGATTCTGGACAGCGATGAGCACTCAGAGAGAACTCCATGTGAACGGGAAGGTAGAGAGTGATGTGTCTCGAGCCAAAGGACACGGCTACTGCCAGGCAGCTGCCAGAAGTTAGCCGAGCGCCATGGAACAAGCCCCAGACAGAACCAGCTCCGTGGATATCTTGATCTTGGATTTGTAGCCTTTCGAACTGTGAGACCAAGATATCTGTTGTTAAGCCACCTGGTTCGTGTAGTTTCAGAGCAGCCATAGCAAATGAACACAACGTCTGAAATCTCAGTGAAATAATGAGCCTCTCACTTTCTCAGCAGAGGGATACGCTTCCTCCCCTCAAGAGATTTCCACTCCATTCGAGCACAGCAGCAAGTAGAGAGGGCAGCCAGCCCAGCATGGAGCCTTGAGCTGCAGCTGCTACTGTGCCACAGGGCAGGACCAGCTCTCTGAGCTCCAACGCTCCTTGCTCCTTCTCCCCTTCATCTTGACATTTGGTCCCAAGGTCCCTGGCTTATTTCATTTCAGTTTTTCTTTCTTTTTTTTTTCTGGAACCACGGATTGAACTCGGGACCTTGCACTTGCAGGGCAGGCGGTGGAACCACTGAGCTAAATCCCCGGCCCTAGTTTTTCTTTTTAGTTAATATGTAATACTTTAATTGTACATACTGATGGGATACTGTGTGATAGTTCAATGCCTGTGCTGCTTGGGGCTTTGACCTTGAACCAGAGATGTTTCAAGGGGCCTCCTGCCCATGTCACCACCTGGGGGCAGCAGAACACTTGAGAGTTGGGTGGGAGGCAGGCCCTTACACACAACCTGAGCAGGTTGAAGGAAGAGCTCAGGGCAGGGGTCCCCATGCTATCCTGGCGGTCCTGGGAAGACTTCCCCACCGGGGCTCACAGTGGAGGTGTCTGGGAGAAGGAGAGGTGTGATCCAGGTGAAGACGAAGAAGAAAAACCTTTGGGGCCTGATCTAGCTTCACTTGGTTGTCAAGGACAGAAGCCTGTGACAGTGAGAGAGAAACGTATTGCAAAGATACAGAAGCATCTTCCAGATGGACACAGAAAGCACAGGCAGAACTCAAGGGCACTGGGCTGTCGTCCTGCAGCTCTCCTTCTTCCTCAGGGGCCTGTGTCCCTTGTGGCCTGTCCATCCCCTTGTCTGGGCAGGTGTTTCTCCCCAGCAGGACTCTTAGGTGCTGACCCTCTGCTGTCCAGGGTGCTGAGGCCACTGCCGCATGCAACTTCGCGTGACCTCAGGGACCAACACGGTCTGACCCTGTCACACAGGCCTAGGGCACATGAGAGGCTGGGTTCTAAGTAAGCTGTGTGTCCTGGAGCACGGCAGTTTCAACAGTGCTTCCCGGAGTCCTGCAAACGTGTGAAGCTTGGATCGCTCAGAATCTGACTGGCTCAGGGGAGGGAGGTCCAATCAAGGGTGCATCTGTGCCTGCAGGAGGGTTTGCAGCGAGCGGCTCACAGCGGGCAGCCCGGGCTGTTCAGGCAGCTGGGATCCTGGCAGGAACTGGCAGCTCCTTCGAGGGAGAATTACCGAGGCAGAGGGCAGACACAGGAGCAGGTGATGTACCTGGGGGCCGGTGATAGTCACCTCCTTCAGGTGTGAGGAGCAAGGGGAGGGAGCCCTTTCTCACACACAGGATGAGCCAGGTCACACGGCACAGGTTGGGGTTGTGGCCCGGGCAGGCAGGAAGGGTCCTTCTCCCTTCTCTGAGTCCAGCTCACTGTGATCAAATACAGCAGGAAGCCAGAGGTCCAGCTCAGGAGTGGCAGGTAGGGGTCCAGACAGAGAAGGGCCAATGGGAATGACCAACACGGGAGGGAGAAGCTGCCTGCGCACAGGGAGAGGAGACAAAGCATGGGGAGAAACCTCTTGTGTTTCACGACACTGGAGGACACAGTAACTGGAGCGACCAGGGCTGCAGAGGACCATGGGGGCCACCATGAGGAACTGGGTGTCCATTCTGAAACTAGCCGGCCACTAAAGACAGGAAGACTGGCCAGGAGGCTGTCACATAGAGCCGTCAGAGCGGAAGCCAAAGAAGATTCCAATGGATGAACTTCAGGGACTCCTTTCAAAGGCCCCAAATTTCAGTGCATTCAGAAGTCTTTCTGTTTGCAAGGGACAGAAACTCACTGAAATCACCATTAACCAAAACAGTCATTGCTTTGTGAAACCCAGAAAACCAAGGCAAAGTTGGTTTCAGGGACTCCAGAAATGCAAAAGAAAGCAAGCTGCTTTCCTCTATCTCCCTCCTTCGCCCCTCCTCCCCCCTTTCCCCCTCCTTCCCTTCTGTTAGTTTGTTGTTTTTGAGACAGGGTCTTGCTATGTGATTCAGAGTGGCCTTGAACTCCCTGTGGAGCCCAGGGGCCTCAAACTGGCAGTGGTTCTCCTGCCTCAGCCTCCTGAGTGCTAGGATCACAGGAGTGCGCCACCACGCCTGGCACTCCCCACCTTCTTTGGGATCAAGCCCAGGGCCTCATGCACACTAGCCACGTGCTCTCCCACTGAGCTATGCCTCCTGTCACTCCTGTCACTCCATCTGTGTGTCTTCATGTCTCTTTCCTCTTTTGGCCAGACCACTCACCTAGCTTGCTACAGCACAGGGGAAGGGAGAGGCCACAGCTTCCTCATCCAAATTAGTGACCCTAGAAGAGAAAAAGCTCTTTGAACATTCGTATGTAAAGATCCAGGGCAGTACTCTGATTGGCTGAGCTCAAGTCACATGTCTAACTATAAGCCAATCATTTTGGCCAGATGTTGGGAATCTTGGATTAGCTAGGACCAGTGGTCCAGGCTCAGTGGCTGTAAAGTGAAGCTGTGATGGTCAGGCTCACTGACACAGGAGAAACTGAGGAAGGCAATCAGCCCCCTCATAAGGGGGTAGAAGGCTGGGGATTTAGCTCAGTGGTTCCAGCGCCTGCCTGGCAAGTGCAAGGTCCCGAGTTCGATCCCTGGTACCAAAAAGAAGGGGGTGGAAGGGTGCTACACAAACAGACATCCTCTGTACGTATCTGGGTGTCAGCAGTGCTTGCACCCATGGCTCAACCAGGAAGCCCCTGCCACGGGAGGCTCCACAATGGTACAAGGAAGGAGGAAGCCCGATTAATATGTACTTAGCAAAAGACAAAAATCAACCCTGGAGAAGCAGAAAATGTCTAGGCAGCCCAGAGTGAGAAGAGCAGAGCTGTCTCTTGCCTGCCCTTCCGGCCTCTTCTTACAAGCCCCTGGTGGTCCATATTGCAATAACAATTACCATTCTTCTTCCAGACACTGTATAAACAGCAAGAATGTGATTATGGCCCCCCAGAGAGCCAGCGGTGGACGAGCTCTGCGCATCACTGCTCTCTTCCACGGAGAGCACATTCCAGCGGGATGAGGTCACAGAGCCGAGGAAGGGGAGTGGAGGAGGGGGTTCCTGGGTCAGCACTCCGGAGCCCCGCCTTCTCACCCACCCCACTCCTCAATAACCACGACTCTCCCAACCCCCGAGGTCTCAGACTCTGAACACACTTGGGTCACCACAATGGTGTGAATGCAAAGGCAGGAATTGGTTCCTGTGAAGCAGTCTGTGGACTGGTGGAACAGAGAGAACCCTGTTCCTTCCACTTCCCCCTGTCCCTCACTGTCTCCAGGTGGTCGATGCTTGGGCAGCTAGGGTTTAGCATCTCGTGGACCAACTTCCGGGACGGATGGACACAGAACAAACTCAGTTAACAAATGTGACATTAACTGAACAGAGACCTGCGTGAATTACATTTAACATCTCACTGAAAACACTCCATGAAGTAGGCATTATTATTACCTGTGCTGTGGGCGAGAAGACTTTCTTTCCTGAGTAGGTATGATGAGAGAAAACTGTATTCAAACTATACACGGAGCTAAGGCTCTTAGCTTCCCCTACCTTTCTCATTAGTCTCGATGGCCCAAGACCTATAGTTCTAAAAAGCCTGCTCATTGCTTCAAGGGCCCCAGAGGATCAGAGGTGGGCGGCGGAACACAGGCTGGGCTCCGGTCTGAGGGAACGTTTTTATAATTCTTACAAAGGCACCATGCTGGCTAGCAGCAGCCTTTCTTTGGGCAATCCTGGGCCTTCTGGGAATTCTGACAGCACCCACCGTGTTGGCAGCTCACATACCTGGCCCCTTCACCACAGGCGGTCTTGCTTTGTGACCCGATTGGTTCCCCTGACAAAACAAGTTATTCCTAGAACTCACTCGAATTTTCTCGCTTCCAGGGCCTTGCTCGTTGGGTTCTTTCGGCCTAGAACGCCCTTCTGCTTCCAGCCACCTCTCCCATTTCTATTTCTTAACACCCACCTTTCTTTTAAACCCTGGTCTGATGTCCACTCCTTCAAAAAACCTTCAGATGCCAAAGTTGGATCTTGTCTCACTCTCTGACTCCTCTCCCCGCTTCTCGTCTGAGTCTCATGCTAGGGGTCATCCGCTCTTTAGGGACCGTTCCTAAATGTTTTCCATACTGTATCTCCTCGATTCCTCATTTCAGTATTGTGCCCATTTCAGAGGAAGAAAATGAGGCTGGGAAGGATTTAAAGCCTTGTTACAGCTGGGAAACAGCAGCACAGGAAATGAATCCAAGTGTTCTGACGTTAAAGCCGCCGCCTCTTCTAGGGCTGTTTCCCCTAGATGGCCCTAATAAGTGTGAAGGGTTGGTAACTTGAAGCCAGTGTGGTTCTCCAAGGAATGGATTTTTGCTCAAGCATTCTGCAAAGCAAAGAGGGCTGTCCTGGCCCTTTTCCCGCTCTTCTCCGGAGAAATGCAACTCTCCCGAGGCTCGAGCAGGCCCTTCACCCACGCGGGCCCCAAGGGCTCTCTGGGACACCTATAAGCATCCAGCGCGTGCAGCGCCCAAGCACCTAGGCGAGCGCGGTCCCGCCACACCCAGCCCGGGCCACTTGTTTATGCCTTGGCCCGGCGCGCCCCCGCCGCCCATCACGTGACCGCCGCCCCCCCGCCCCTCGGGATCTCGCGTGGCTCCTCCCACCGCGCCGGTCCTTCTTTTCGCCTCCTTCGGAGTCACAAGATCTCTCAGCGGACTCCTTTCGGGATCCTTCCGCCGTCCCCGCCCCCACCTCAAAAAACTTCCCTGAGTTTTTTTCTCGGCCAGTCCGCACCATCAGTCCTGAGAGGAACGGCTCGTTACGTCCGGTAAGGCTGCGGATCTCGGTTATCGCTCCTTAGGTTAGAGGGGGAGGCGGCCCCTGGCCGCGGACTCTTTTTCGTGGCGGAGGCCGCGGAAGCCGTGGACGCTTCACGACGGGGGGAGGGGCTGTACGTCCAAGATGGCGGCGCCCTGTAGGCTGGAGGGACTGTGAGTAAACAGCTGACGGGGAGGAGGCGCTGGGTGAGTACGGGGGTGTCTCCCCCTCCTTTTCACGGGGGCTTCTCAGGGCAGGCCCGGCAACATGACTGCAGTCTGGGAGGCCGCGAGGGGCTGGGGCAAGAGGCTTGTTTGCTGGGTCGGGGATCGGCAGAAGGGGGTTTCGGAGGGCTTTTCCCTCCCTCTTACTGCGCGCTGGCTCCGGCAGGGGCCGGGGGGACTGGCGGGTCCCTGGGGCGGGGAGATGGCCGGGCCGGCACTTCGTCCCTCCTTGTTGGCTGAGGGGACGACGGCACCCCCGGGCTTCGGTGCCCAGGGCAGGGGTGAGGGGAGTCCTGGTGACCGCCCCCTCCCTGGGTGGGGTGACCGGTTCAGGAGGGGTGCGGAGGGCAGGGGGGAGACCCCGGGTCGGGGGCGGGGGGAGGGCTGGGGGTGGGGCTGGTCGCGGGACCTGCGGAGAGGGGCCAGGGTGGAGTGTGGAGAATGAATGGAGGCTGCCCGTGGGCATCGGGGACCCTTCTGGGCCCTGTCTGTGCTGAAATTTGCACGATCGGAGCGCCCAGCTCCGGTGCACTTGTGAGTGTTTAATTGACGGTGAAAGACAGTTACCTTCAAGTCCGCAGAGTCGCTTCTTAAGAGACAGCTATTTGCAGAGTGGCTCCTAGGTGCTCATTCATTCATTTAAGGAACTGGTGGACAGAGAGCCTGCAGTCAGAGACGCCTTTGAGAATTAAAGCGCTTTCTTTGTGTTGCCTTTGAAAGAGTTTTTGCTTCGTGCCTTTGGATTTGGGATGAGGAGACTCGGGAGGGGGCCTCGGTCCTCCTGATAAAAGCAGCTGACGATTATGGGGAAGTGCTTTGCAGGCATCATTTCTTTGGTCTGGGACAAAGGAAGACTGCCACTTGGTTAACACTTCCAGTCTTCTCAGATGAAGAAACTGAGGCCAGGAGAAACTGGGGTAATTTGCCCAAGGTGACCCGCCCCCCCCAGGCTGAGCCAGGACTAGAACTGAGGTCTGACTGATTGAAAAGACATGACTCTTATTTGTTATTTGATCAACGTTGGCCTGTCATTAAGTGATTAGAATTAATCATTTGGTCAAGGTGCGTGCACATGTGTGTGTGTGTTTAGTTTTTGGGGGTTCACTTGGCTTGTATGCTTTATGCATTTGTTTCCAGTGTTGTGCCTGTAAACGTGTTAGTCTGAATTAGGCTGGAAAGTATTTAATACTTTTGTAAAATTGGTCCCCTTACTAAAAAAGAAAGTTCTGCTAAAATCCATGCTGTTTTTTTAAATTTATTTTTTAATCCAATAGCACTATCACTTTATATAGAGTATGCTGTGAAAGTACTAAAGTAGAATAATATTCTTCTGAGATATTTTGATTTATAATTTTGGGATCAGCTTAGAGTTGTCTGAATTCAAAGAGGCTGGAAAAGTGGAGCAGTAAATTTCAGGAAGCTTTACAAAACCTAATCTTCTGGGAGCCTTTGATTTACTGAGCAACCACCTGTGATTCTCAACGTGAGCATTCCTGAGTAAACCTGGAATATGCAAATGCGAAAACTGATTTAGGGTGTTGTAAGAAAATGTACCTTTAACAGTCATGCATCAGGCAAATGAGGCTCCTCAGAAACACTGAACCATCTTTGCTGTTGCCCTGGGGAGCTGCAGAATCTTCCTCTAACCACCTATTGTAAACTTAAGGGGTATTTATAGAGGATGTAAATGGAAAATACTGTTACCAAAGTTAATATCTTATCCAAAACACTCTTAACATCGCATACCTAAAAGGGCAGATGATGTAAGCTTTCTTTGCTCTAAGCATTTTCTGGTGTCCTAAGCACTTGGTATGTTTCTAAACTCCTAGTTGGAAAGAAGGAGACTTGCTTCTTTTCGTGTAAGAGAATGTATAAAAAAATCCTATGACTCAGTTGTACTCGTCCCTACTGGGTAAAGAAGAAAGATGTCTGCTACTCCTACTGATGTGGTGTAATGTGATGCTTTCTGTACATGCCCAGTTTCATTCATGAGATTAAACTGGGCAGTCTTACTAGTGCATATCTAATATACCTGTTTATGTAATGTTTAAAGAATATTATGAAATTACCAGAAACAAGGGACCCCAAACTGTAGTGTTCGTCAGAACTTCCCCGCAATGGTACCTGGCATAGTAGACCTACATATTCAGTTTGAGTTCACCCTTTCACAATCACTCGACATAATTTTAGGGAAGTTTGAGTCTCAGGTGCTCAGAGGATGAGGACCACTTAGGTTCAGTTTGGCTGTTTTCTTTCAATTTATAATTTATCCCAGAGGCATTTCTTAGAATAGCTTCTCACTTCTGATGTGTGTAATGATGGGTGAGTTTGGGGCTCTGAATTAGAGCTGAATTGACCTTGTAGTTTTATCTTCTTTTGAAGTTGTAAAGGATACAGGTGTGTTCATTTCTGGGCTCCAGTGCCATAATGAATGGAAATTAGCTTCACCTGGAGTTAATTGGCTAGTCTTGAATGCCGGTGAGCCAAGTACAGCAATACATTGACCGTCTTTTTATAGAGTCAAAGCTTTTGACCTCTAACAAGTCACTTAAGTTCTCTCAACCTGAGTTTCTTCATCTGTTAAGTGAGAATTGGATTGTAAATTAAGGAACCCCTCCCAGTCTGCATCTGGGGATCAAACCCAGGGCCTTCCATTGAACATCCCAAGCCTTTTTTATGTTTTTTGTTGTGAGACAGATTCTAAGTTGTCCGGGATGTGCTTGAACTTCCAATTCTCCTGCCTCAGCCTCGCAGAATGGTAGAATTACAGGATTATTTTTTAGTCTAAATTTCCGTAATTTAAAGTACTCCTGGGCTTCATAACTAAATCCTTTGATTGAAAATATTAATGGTTGGGCCAGGGATTTAGCTCAGTGGTTCCGGCGCCTGCCTTGCAAGTGCAAGTTCTCGAGTTCAATCCCTGGTACCAAAAAAAAAAAAAAAAAGAAAGAAAGAAAATATTAATGGTTTTATAATAACCAGGCGAATTGGTGACTTTTAGCATGCTTGATAGGGTGAAGACCATATCCTTTCCTTTATATGATAATATTTTTAAAAAGATAATTCCCTGTAAGTTCTGCCTTTTATATAGATCTCTCTTTGAAAGATTAGTTTTATTTGTATTAGTTTTGTTTGTCATGTAAGAAGCTGTGGGCTTGAAAGAAAAGATTTCTCAGTAGCCTTCAAATTGTAGTTGTTGGCTTTTATATGTATTTATATATAAATATACTCCAAACAGTGAGGTCTTTAAACCTCAGATCAGTTGATAACTGTTTAATATAGTTTGGTTTGCATGAAATGTTCATTTTTTTTCATTTAAATTGGTCTGAAAGAGGTCACATCAGCCAGATTATTCTTTCTCTGATTTACTTTTAAGCCTGTAGTTGCTATAAATTAGTAATTAATGTCTACTTTAACGGGGAAGAATAAAATTCATATTCTATATAGAGAGAGTACGATCTCGGGAACTTGTCAGTTTTTTTCTCCCTTCTCTTCTGGAGTGCTAACTTGTTATATACTGGAAAATAGCAACAGGTAACAGAATACTTTTTTAAGGTTGGCAGAGTTCAGATTGACATCTAAAGAGTAAAATGCTTTAAAAAGTCAACTTTAATCCCCAACAAGGCATGGTAGTTACTGGCCTACAAGTCACAGGTCACTTGGCCACAATGTTTAAATAACAAGGGACAGTCTTGCCTGGTGTTGCTGGTATGATTGATGGAAGGCACCATAGGGAGTGACAGGAAGAGCAGATGTCGCCTCAGTGTCTCCAGTCGACTACTAATACTTGTGCTGCTTTGCATCCTTCATGGAGCATGGTAACAAACTTGGAAATATAGCTGCTTGAAGTTATAGAATGGTTTTTATCAGTGTTTCACATACCAGCTGTTACATGCATAGACCGCTGAGCATTGTGTGCCCACAGTGCATTCTATTGAGTAGTAATATTGTCCTAAGAAAGCTTCTATTGAGTACTTATGTGCCAATACCATGCCAAGTGTTTCACACATCTAATACTGTTTACTCATCCCACAGCCCTAAGGAGCAGGATGGGAGAGGATGTGGAGGCTTAGGGGCCTGAGTAAGTTGCCTGAGGTGATTATGCAGTGGTGGAGCTGGGATGTGACCCAGGTTTGGTGGACTGCAGAATCAAAACATTTAATTCTGCACTGTGATAAACTGCCTGATCTGCTAATTTCCCAAATTAACTCACAGACCAGTGGTTTTCAACTTTTTGAGGGACCTCAGTTCCCCTCTTAAAATCTGTGAGATGCTACACACTAATGTCTTTTCTCTACCCTTTATCTTCGATTAGCACCAAAAAATGGGTACAGATCAGAAACTCTGGTTATAGTTCCAGAGACTTCATGGACCAGCTTAAAGTCCCTCAATCATTTTAGATAGATTACTGTTCTTAAAAGTGGACTTAAGCTTCATTAAGAACACTCTTTTTTTTATTTTTTAAACTAGTGGGTAGGAAAGGCCCAGGTATTTTAAAGGTGGACTTACACACTGTGTTATAAATTATTTCGTTAAACCTTTGAATTGGAAGGTTCTACTTCACTGGGAACACAACCTTAGGTGCCACATTAAAAACATTTAGAAGTCAAGGACTGAGATGGGTAACCCTTTGAATCCTTTCCAGGCTTGGCATTCAGTCTGTGCTCCCATCTTTAGGACCTAGCAGAATTTCATTAGGTTTTTTCCAAGGTTTGTGCAGTTTTCTTCCTTTTGAGCCTCATACCAGGTAATGGATGAATGAATGTTTCCTGCCTTTACCCCTCTTCTTCCTAGACCAAGCTTCTTAACCTTTGGTGGGCATCAGAATCAAAGGCCCCATTTCCAGAGTTTCTGATTCCGAGATCCCTAGCAAAGACCAGGAATTTACATTTCTAACAAATTCCTGGGTCATAGGGATCCAAGGGCCACATCTTGAGAGCTACTCTTCTACCCTGCTTTCTACCCTAGAATATTTCTGTTTTAGGCCTACAAACTTGAAACCTACAGAAATCTGATCATTTTTCTCTTAGGGTAAGCTTTGTATGGTGACTTTCTGAAACATACACAGTATCTGTTTGACTTGTATTTTCTTGGTAAATAATTTTGTCCTTGTTAATAAAAAGTCAAAACGTATGCACAATATATAGAAGAGACATGCTTTACCAAAATCAGACCCTGCCCCTGCAGGCACATTACTGGAGGACTTGGCACCTTTGGAGTAGGATATACGCTTTAGTGAACTGTATTTCCATCAAGGCCCCTAAAGGCAGAAATTTTGAATGGAGAGCCAGGCCAGTTGGGGCACTCTTGCTCCAGGCTCTCTGAACTTGAGAGGGACTACCTACCCGTGCTGAGCGCATTTGAAGTCATGCACGCCTACACGTTTGGGAAACGTTGGCCATCAGCTGTTTTACTGTCACTCTGAGCATGGTGGTAGTATTTCCTACCCCTTTTCTCTTTCTTGTGTGCATCCATAGGAAGAGAGAATTGGACCAAGTAGTTTACTCTTTTTAGATGCGTTTATGCTGAAGACAACTTGATTAGCATGATAGGATATTATTCTGAGAAGTCACCTGAGAATTCCTGAGCCGAGTGGAATACTAATGTAGCAGTGTAACATTTCTGCTCTACCTAGACTGTACTTGATAATGAAGTAGTCCATCAGTGCCTGGACCTGTGTCTGAACTGCTTTTTTTTTTTTTTTTTTTTAAAGACAGGGTCATGCTATATAGTTCAGGCTGGCCTTGAACTCATGGCAGTCCTCCTGTCTCAGCCTCCTGAGTTCTGGGAGTATAGATGTGCAACCCCACACCTGGCAGATTTTTAAATTATTTTGCAGTCGGGTCTCACTGCTCAAGCAGTCCCCCTGCCTCAGCTTCCCAGTTGGCTGGGAGTACCACCACACCTGGTTTGGACTTTTGTAGATAAAAACTTGAATACAGAAACCAAGTTATAGTGAAGAGACATCTGCCCGTAGACAGAGACATCACTCATACCCACAGTTGCATTTGTACACCATAGACAACTGTGTACGAATCCATCTTGGGTGATTTGATATGCTTCTGCCTGTTTTGTGTGAGTTATTGTCCAAAGGGCCGAGAGCTTTAGTGTCCAGGCCATATGTCACACACTGGTTTTCCAAAAGTCTGAATATTCAGCTGACAGTTTTATCCAAAGTACTCATTAAAAGCATTTTAGGCACCCACCACTAGCACAGTGTTTGTTAAAGGTGTGTGTCGCTCTTAGACCTCCAAAGCTCATAGTGTGTCTTGCCTTGGGCATAGATTTGTGAAAAAAATAGGGTGGGTTCTGCTAATGTCAGCTCCCTGTGGCAGTTAGGCTGGAAGTCCTGTGTCATCCCCAGGCATATAAACCATCCACCTGTAAACACCAAGAGAATGAAATACATGAAGATGAACTGTGACAACAAATCAAAGATCTTGTTTAATAGCAGAGCCCTCATCTTCCTTAAATCTGCTTTTTGTTTTTATTCAAAAAGACTGCTCGTAGTAGTAAAGTTACAGTGCCACATGTAGATGAGAACACAGCTTTTGAGTCAGATATCAAGGAAGGAAAAAGCTAGAACTGGGGCCGTGCTTCTCTTTTTATTTGGTGTTTGAAGATAAGAAGGTGAACTGATGTTGCTGTCATGTTTTGACAGGTGTTTCCATCCATGCCCCTCTCTGCCACGCAGGAGGTTCATGAGGCACTTCTCACTTTACTGACCTGAAAGACGAGTGCACCCGCAAGGCAGGGGTTAAGTAAATAAGTAAATCAACATCTAGAAATATAAATTACCGTAGGCAGCCTGTTTGGTGTCTGTTTGACATAGACTGGAAAACTGATGCTGAGTCAGTCTCATGGCCCTTTTTTTGGTGCAGTGATAGAGAAGTTGTAACGTTGTACATTGGACAGAAACCACTCTTGATTTCCCATGGCAGTGCCTTCATCTAGGACAGTGATCTTGGCTACACAGGCTGCAAGATCTCATCTTGGGTATATCCTAATCTTACTCTTGCGTTAGATATTCTTTATTTTTAGGTAAAAGATCAACTAGGATCAATTGCAAGAGAAAGTCAGTGTGACTTGCAGGTCAGTCCGTTTTAGGGTTCAGAAAGGGTGAGCCCCGTACCAATTCTGCCCTCTGACTTGGTAGACCCGGGTGGCCAGGCAGCATTCCCAGCCTGCAGGCTTTGGCCTGCAGCGCTCCTCACATGCTCGGAGGGCCGCTGAGGACCATGGCATAGATGCCCAGATGTGTTCCATGTGGAGCTGTAGTTACCCTGCCATCTGAGTGAGCGACTGTTACAATTGCTCAGTTCTCTCTCTTGACTTTGGCCACTGTCTGTGTTCCAGAGCGTGTTTCAAGTGCTAGGTGCAATTAGGTGCATATAGTGCATGAGGCCCAGCTTCCTGCTATCTCTTCTCCCCAGGAATGGCTGTCAAAGAGTTTGATGAGGTCTTGGGGATCTCTTGTGTGCCAGGTGCCAGGATAGGTACGGGTACCCTAACCCGAAGGCCTTGTCCTCATGGAGCTTACATCCGTGGCCAGACTGTACCTAAACATTGTTTGAAGGGCCAGTATTTTAAGAGCAAACTGGATACACACACACACACACACACACACACACTCATTTAACATGGATGATTAGGTAATTTGGACAGAAAGTAGGGTAAAGGGGGAAGAAAATCGAGAAAGAGCTGTTGGCGAATATTTTATGCCTGTCATGTGGATGCTTTAGACTTAGTGCTGCTTGAAAGCAGCATTAGGCTTTGTACATTTATTTGAGAAGTATTTTAACTGCTAACCACTCAGCCAACAAGTAAGTGCCAGGCACTGGTAGCTGCTAGAGATAGAGCACTGAATAAACTAGGCTTTTCCTTCTGAAACTTCTAGTGAGTGAGACAGTTCAGTGATTAATTATACTTATTTAATTGGGGTGTGGAGAGTGACACAAAGAAGTACAGGCTTCTAAGTGCCTCTGTCAGGGCCCTGGCCCTGAAATGAGGCCTCGGAAGGCTACCCGTAGGCTTGTTAGATGGAGACCTTAGGGTGGGGAGTCCCTGGAGGGAAGCAGGGCCGAGTCTCAGGCACAGGGTGGGGGATTGAGACAGGGACACTGGGGCTGGCTGGGAAGCTGAAAGGGTCCCGAGGCAGGGCGGGACGGGAGTGTGGTCTGAGAAGAGGTGCAGAACTGCTGAGTGCTGTGCACCTCTCACTGTCCTTGCCACAGAGGACCTGGGGAGAAGGCGTCTCCTCATCACACCCCTGCCTGGCTTTAGGGGGTTGATGCTGCTGTTATTCCCACTTGAAGTGGAAGGTGACTCGAGGTCAGACATTAGAGACTTAAGATAGTAGCTCTCAGTGACACAGCTAAGTAAGTGCCAGAGGTTGGATTTCGACTCAGACCTTGTTCCAGAGCAGCTTCTGCCCACTCCTTGATAACTCACAGTTAACAAAAGGCAGAGGTTACAAGTTCAGCAAAATATAAAGAATTTTTCAGCCATCAGCCACTCTGAAATGCAGATGAGGAGGGGCATGTGCTCCCTGTGGTTTAAGTGTTCATTCCGGTGGAAACCAGGGGCCACCTGTCAGAGATACTGTAAGTGGGGGGGAATTGTACCTGGTGGACCCTGGGCTCCCTTCCTACGCGGACTGGGTTTTGCTGCATTGTAAGACTGTCATGTACATACATGTCTTGTGTGTTTTCCTTCCAGTGATCATGAAAGACACCAGGTTGAGAAGACTGGAAACTAAAGTCCCAATTATTCCCCGAACAGGTAAGGTATGCTGTCAGTCCCATGGCTGGGGAAAGATGAGAGGGAATGTCTCACCCTGTCCATAACATTTATGATTATAGGGACCTATCAGGAACTGGATGTCTGTAACTTATGTAATTATTAAAATTACTGGCGATTTATTAATTGCTATGCACCGCTAAGTGCAACATCTGCATCACTTCTTGTCTTCTGGTTCATGCTTTTGATGTGTCCCCCACCACAGGGTTTGAAGGTCTTACGCAGTTTCCTAAGGGCATTTAGCTAGTTCCTGGTAGACCTGTAATGCAGATCAGTTATGTGTAGCAGCAAAGTGATTTTTAACCCCTGATTAAATTGCCGTGTGTGTAGTAGAGCAAGTCCTTGAACGTGTGAGGTTCTCATCCTTGGCTGGGTCTTGGAAATCCACTTAGGTTCATACAAACAAGTCAGCATGATATCTGGGCTCTGCCTCTTAACCTGCTGTGGAGTGGAGCGTGGTCTCCAGGTAATGCTGATGTCCATCCTTGGTCGAGAACTCTGAATTAACTAGTGAGCATTTACACCTTACTGTGGCTGTGTTTATTAGCAGTCTTAAGTTAGTTTGGGAGATAAATTATATACTTTAGTAAGTTTTGGGAATTGAAGAATTCTCGGAGTCCCAGAATATAACTGTCATAAAAACTGAGGCTTTGGCATTTCAGAGATCTGAATTTAGTCTTGGCGATCTAACCGATCAGCAAGCTGTCATTTTGAGTTTAGCATCGAGAAAGTGTGGGTGGTGAAGGTGTGTAGGGGAGATGAGGAGGTGTTTGCTCTACTGTCCTTATATACCAGCTGCTAATTTGTTTCATTTCATGCCTCAGTGACTGCTATGTATTGTGCTGTCCCTTTATGCCTTCCTATGTCATAAAAGCATATAAAATGATGTCACAGTTTTTGCCTTAAAGATCCACACTGGTTCATAAACAGACACTACAGATTATAGATGATCGAGAAGGTGAAATATTGTTCCCATAAGTGGGAGAAAGCTTCTTAAGCTTGCCTTTTCATTTTCAATTTTCTTATGTATACTTCATCACATCCTTTTTAGAAGTTCACTGAATATGGACTTGAACCCAGAGTCAGATGGTCAAATCATTGATGCCCAGTCAGAATGTCAACATTATAAAATGTAAATTCTGGGATACAAAAATAAAGCTCAAATTCTATTAAATATTTTCTATGATTGGAGTTGTGTTACATTTCATTTTATTTATATGTTTGTTTTTTTGAGATAGGGCTTGCTACGCAGTTCAGGATGCCTTGAACTTATTATGTAGCCCCAGGCTGGCCTCAGACTCACAGGGGATACTCCTGCCTCAGCCTCCTGAGTGGTGGTATTACAGGTGTGCACCACCATGTCCAGCTTGTGTTACATTTTAGTAGTTAGATTTTAAAACTTGAAAGTTGTAGTGTAGGAGAAGCGCTTTGTGAACACTGTTAGCTGTTAGGTTGCCCTATAGTCACCGTGTTATCTGTGTGTGATTCTCTCTGTCTAGCGAGCATCACCCATCATCAACCAAAGCAGTGTTCAGGGAAGTTTCTCGTGTATGATTTTGTAGAAGGAGCCTTCTACCTGAGATGCACAGCCTAGAAGCCCTCAGAAAGCCTCATCTTCAAGTTCTAAGACTTGCTGGCAACATATAGCAATTGTTTTGACAAGTTGTTGGTGAATGTTCAACCTCCATAGACTCAAAACTGTAAGAAACTGCCTTGACCATTTCTGTAAAGCCTCTTTTGAAATTTGATTGGTGAATACAAAATATGTCTGAGAATTTCATTTTTTCCTTGACATTGTTTACTTTAACTCTTTATAATCACTATTGTTTTGTTTGCTTCCCCCACCCCATGCTGGCGATAGAACCAGGGTCTCGTTCGTACTGAGCAAGTGCTCTACTGCCCACTCACACCCCTACCTCTTTTTATTTTATTTTTTATTTTTGTTTTTTGAGGTAGGGTCTCACCATGTAGTTCAGATTGACCTTGAACTCACCATGTAGCCCAGGTTGGTCTCAAACTTGTGGAAAACCTCCTGCCTGAGCCTCCTGAGTACTGGGGTTACATATGTGTGCCACCAGGCCCAGCTGGCCCTTTTTATATTCTTTGTGTTTGGTTTAAAGGTGACTTATGGATATTGTTTATTGTAATTATGGATTTTTATGTACTTTATTCATATAAATTGAAGTGAAAGGGTTGACATTTTATTTTAAATTCATTCTCACAAAATGTGAAGTACTCCCAAATGTGACTTTTTCTTGAAAGACTACAAAGTCAATGTAGTTCTTAAAGGTAATTTGGTTTGTAATAAATACTGCAGAACAATTCTATGAAAGTTAGAATTACTGTAAAGTGTTATTTAGTTTCTGTTATGTAGTTGAGTTAAATTGTTACAAACACTAATTTGTAAGGCTATCTAGTTAAATTACTCTTAATAGTTATGTTACTAATATATTTAATTAGTTGAAAGTTCTTAGTTGTTTTTGAGTATAAAAACTACTCATAGCATTAATGGAAGCTTTTACTTTCCATGACTTTTTTTTAGGTACCGGGATTGATCTCGGGTCCTTGCGCTTGTGCAGCAGCCGGCGAAACCACTGAGCTAAATCCCCAGCCCAACTTTCCTAACAAGCATACATTTTAGACTTCATAAGCTGGTAGAATTTCAACTTAGGAGATACACAATGTGGATATTTCATCTTGAATGTTTTACCTCTCCTCAAAGGTGAATGTTCAGAGTCCAGGGATTTAGCTCAGTGGTGCCCGCCTGCCTCAACAGCGCAAGGTCCTGAGTTCGATCCCTGGTACCAAAAAAAAGTGAATGTTCAAATGTTAACTTACTGTTAAATATCCTAAATATATTCTTTGTTGACATTACTGATATCTTGTAGATAGGTAGAATGGTAGCATCATGAACATATAATTACCACACACACGAGGCCATGAGGTCAGGGGTGCCAGAAATGCTGCTGAGTTAGCGGTTGACACCTCAGCCTTCGGGCTTTCCACAGACCAAGGCCAAAGCTGGACGTCAGAGTTTGGATGAGTGTGGAGACTGAAATGGAACTACTAAATCTGCTCTCCATGCCTGCTGAGGGGATGATTGTTCTCCGTGGTAAACTGTGGTGGCCAGTTGGAGAGTGTGAACTTGGTTCAGATTCCTCATGATTAGAGAGGAACTTTTATTCAGAGAAGGAGACTGATAGTCCTCACCCCTGTGCTTTTAGATCAGGGGATGGGTGGAGGCCACTCAGGGCAATGTTCTGACCAGACCTAAAAGACAGGCATGCAGGATATGTGAGAGGAGCATTCCAGGCCAAGAGAGCAGCGGGTGTAAGGGCCCTGGGCAGGGACCAGTTTTCATGGTTTTAGGAACAGGGAAGGGAGGCAGAGGGAGGCTGAGGAGCTACTAACTGGCTGGGTCATGAGCGGGTTTGGCTCTTATTAGCTAATCTTAAATGGGGGAGTGTGGGATTCTGATTTCCAGATTTCATAGTTTCCTGTGGTTGTTTGATAAATGAATTTCAGAGAGTGTGAATACAACAGGGAGAGTGAGGGAGGCTTCTGCTCTCTTCAAAGAGAGAATTGGTGAAGGCCTGGCCTGGGGTGGTTGCAAGGAGATAGCAAAATGAATGGGTTTGCTGTGGACTAAATATGGAGGTGGGAGCTCCACCTGAGTGTTTGCTTTAGACTCATGATAGTGCTTTTTGCTTCTTCAAATTTTTTGTTTATTTATTTTTGAGATAGGGCCTCAGTCTATGGGTCAGGCTGGCCTTGAACGCTCAGCGATCCCCCTGCCTCAGCTTCCTGAGTGCTGGGATTACAGGCATGTGCCATGACACTCTGCTCTGGTAGTGTCTTTCATTGCAACCTGGAAGACTAGCAGAGCAACAGGTTTTGGAATGGGAGTGAGTGGGTATTGAAGCCTATGACTCCTTAATGTGAATAGTATCATCTGTAGCACTGTAGTGTGGCCTGCAGCCCCCAGAGGGTTATTAGATGAAATGGAATTGTCCTTAGTGTGTAGGGTAGAGATGCCTTTCTGTGCTCTTTTCTGTAGAGGGTTCCTTCCATAACATAAGAGACATCATGGCTTTAAGTGGCTGTTTCGGGCATCTGTAGTGCTTACCTAAGCTGTAAGGTGTGTGTGTTTAATAAGTGTAAGTCTTGTCCACCACTACCCAAGTCCAGGCCGAGCTGCTGCCTTCCCTCCTTTGTGCACCTTCTGGCCATGGCCACTTTGCTGCTAGTGCATGTGTATTTCATCATTGCACGTCTTAAGTCTATCCCCCCTACCGAGTACCCTGCACTCAGGAACCCTGAAGAAATACTTGAATGAGTTTAAAAAAGAGGGGTGTTTCAGTCATGGGACCACTTCCAAAAGCAAGGAGTGCTTTTCAGAATGTCAGTTTCTTACATGAAGAATCTCACAAAACCCCATGATTTGTGTATTTCCTAGGGACTAAAAAATACGGTTAAAAAGTACAATTTTAGAAACATTGGGAAAAGTTACTGCCAAAATATTATAATGTGTTTTAGAATAAAACCTTAGTTTTGCTTTTTATAAACTACTTGGAAGGAGTAGGCTCCAGAAGCCAGACTTTGCACCGAAATTACATTTATAAGCTGAAAAATGAGCTCGGTAGCCCAAGCTGACTATCCCTGACCATGGCGGAGTGTATTGGACAGGCGCCTTCTTTGTGTAAAATGGAGCCCCTGTCACTCTGCTCTGGGGCAGCCAGATCTCACACCACTGTCTTCTGCAGGCATAGGAGACAGGCTCAGTCTTACTGGACTAAAGGTAGGAAAGTAGCAATTTTATTGGAATATGTGAAAACAAACTCGGAAACAGGATACATCTGTGAACTGGATTCTTGGTCACTAATTGAGAATCATTTGTGATTTACCCGGAATAAAATAAATGCAAGAATTTGCTAGGTAAATATGCTCTTGAAAAGTTGTCTTGAAAGTGTGGCCCAAAGAGT